TGGAAGTTGAAGCTTCAGATACGATAGAAAATGTTAAGGCGAAAATTCAAGATAAGGAAGGAATTCCTCCAGATCAACAAAGGTTAATCTTCGCTGGAAAACAATTAGAAGATGGTCGTACACTTTCTGATTATAATATTCAAAAAGAATCTACTCTTCATTTAGTACTCAGGCTTCGTGGTGGTAGTATGATGATGAACATTTAAAATGTACAAGCCATAATCTAAGGTATCGCTCTAAAAAAACAGAGATTGATCCTTGCTCAAAAATCTTTATGAAATGGCAATTACATAGTATTCAGATTAGTATAATGTCCAGAAAGTATCCACCCATTACTTAGTCCTTCGTCTCATAGGAAAAAATTAAATTTTAACTATTAACCCTTTAAGTGTTGCTCACAAAACCATCAATATACACAAAATACGCTTAACTTATTTTATTTTAAATCTATCGCCTTAAAAATGAACTTTTTTTTAGTAAATACATTATATTATTACATTGAGTACCTAAGTTTATTATACTATGTTAAATTATAAACTTTCCTAACGTGTATTGTTTAATTGTAATATATATCATATCGAATATTTAATAATATGTCCAACTCATTTTGAAGAAATCGTAAAAATATCAAACTTTATAAAAAATATTAAACCATTTCCCTCATTCTTAATGCAATCATAATAAATATATAACCAATTTATATTTTTTGTTACATTTTTTTACGTCGTTATTGATCGCCCTATCTGTAAAGTTAAAAGTGATTCCTTTTTTTTTAATTTACAATTTATTAACTTGTTGGAATATAAAGCAATTTTCATTTAATATATCAATCGTATTTTCGTATTTCTATAATAAGTCCATTTTTCATCATTTCGAATTTACGACAAATGTGAAGTAATTAAGGGATTTGTTCACGCGTTTGTATAAATTGATGGATTTTCGAGAGCGTATATATGCATAATTAAACAATTTCAATGTAATATTTGGATCGAATAAAATTCTAGAAGCAAACTTATGATTGTTATTAGACGTTTATTTTTAGTCATTTTTATAGAATAATAATTTTGGTATCATTTGCGAATTAAAAAATAATGTATTTAATGTATGTTTATGCATATTAATATGAATAATAATTTATTACTAATATGTATATTACTTTCTATATATATATTATTTAAAAAATGATAAATATATTATAAGTATATATATATATTAGGAACTATTCATAAGTTTTCAAAAATTATAAAACTTTTTTGTTTTAAACTTTTTTCTTGCATATGTGTTAAGTACCGTTTACAGATGGCGATATTCCAGCAACTGATAGAAGTTTTGCGCTTTGCGTATAGATGTAGCCACTTACTGCTGTATGTACTGCTGCATAGTAGTTCTAAATATGTTTATAGAAAAAATTAATCATTCTTTTATATTTTTTAATATATTTATTATATTTTATGTTTTTGTAATGTATTTACATAAATATATATGTGGAACGCGAATTTGAAATTTGCAATTTACAATTTAGAAATTTTATATAATTGGCGCGCTCGTTAGGATGCGCCATCTACTTAACGCTTGAACTAAAATAGCGCGGTTTTGAAGCTCGAGAAAATTGTTTGGTGAATATGCAGAATATATTTGTTCGGTAAGTAAATAAATATATAGTTCCATAATGTTTATATTTATGAATAATAAACAAATAATCTGTAACTTTGATACATTAAATTATTATGGATCTAACTAATTTAATAAGATTATATAAAATAGAATGCTTTCTCATATACTTTTTATAAATTGTTGCAATATTTCTTAAAAGTATTTAACTATTGATAGAATATTTAACAATTAATCTTGAAGTAAATTAAACTTATAAAAATCTGTGATTTTTAAATTTTAATGTCGAGCTGGCACTTGAAATTGCACAAATAGCGGTTTTCAAATTATTTTCTTGTAATTACATTAATTATTTTTAATTACTAATGTCTTGTGGATACCAAAATTAACGATTAAATATATTATATCATGCTGTAAAATATATAATCATTTCAAGATTAATTTATTGTTTAATTTTTATATCCTATTTTTTCATGATTCAATGCATTTTCATTTTGTTGTGTTTTGCATAGAATTAATAAATAAAACATTATCAGTTACTAAGATTGTATCATGTAATTAAAGTATTACTCAGACGAAATTAATTTATTATCAAATTCCTATTACTATTTTCGATTCTATTATATTTTAGCAACGAATCAATGTTACCAGCGCATCTAACATTATAAATGAATTGTAAAATATATATAGAACCAAAGACAAATTTAATTTATAAATAAATTAACTCTGTGTTTTTACCAACTTACTTATTTCTAATTCGATTGAAAAATTAATCACATCTAAAATTATCATATTTCCTTATTTCCAACATTGCTAGCAATCATCATTAAATCAACCTGCAAAATACAACAACACAACAACAACAAATATAAATTTATCATTAAATTAATTCTTATATCCAATTTGCTATACTATACAATCACATTTAAAGCCTAAAACCAAACCAAAAATTAATATGTAAATTCGAATTTTTCAGAATATCAATTATTATCAAAAAACTAACGGGGAAAATGGGATCACGCAAATGATTACGATACCGGTGGTGTTAGCAGTAATGGTTGGTGCTGTTGGTGATGGTAAGAGCGAAGAAGGAGGATACGAAAGAAACGCGAGATGATCTTGATCCTCGATTTAACGTACAACGGTTCCCCCTCGGGAGGTCTTGGCACGATGTATGTCGTCGCGTGGTATATACCGCGTGTGTGCCTAATGGTGGAAGGAAACGTTATCCAGAGGCGGGCAACGGACGGGCAACACACTACTAGTCCGGTGTACCCTGGTAGGGCCGAGAGAAGTCAGCCTCCGGAATACGAACTCGGACTCAGTCTTCGAACTGGTCTCGTAGCACGCTGTGTGTACGGTGTTCCCGTGTGTCATACAACACGGTCCGGTAAGCTTCTTACAATCCTCCTTCTCCTTCGATCGTAAATCCTTTATATTTTATCGATATTACCGAACGGTTGTTTGATTGTCCTTCCCTTGGTCCACTTACCCTTACCAAATATAATTTTACTTAGAGAAAAATTGTGTATCACATCTTTAGAAATATTTCATAAGACTATTTATACTGGGTGCGTATTCCTATCGTATATTATCAAATTTCAAGACAATAAGAAGATTAAACCCGAAGTATATAACGGAAGAGAAGGAAAAAGGGGGACATGAAGTTGAAGGAAGGGTGAAGATTGATCTTACCATTGGATCTTTGGTTCGAAGGATTTCATTTTTCTTTTTCGACCGAAAATCATGACGATATTCATCTTGGGATTATGTTTCTTTATTCATCTATCAGGTAATGTTGTATTATTTTTTATTATTTTCATTTTAATAAATCGATAAATCAATCGATATATTTTAGATGTTACGTTTAATAGATATAAAAATATAAGAACGGTATATAAACACACATGATACGTGTAATCCGTTGAAAAGAGTATAAGATTATATATGTATGCATATGGTTGAGATTTATCTGAAAACATGTAATATATATTATATATTATAAATTATATATATATGTATTACATAGATATACGTACTTATCATACATACGTTTATCAGTACATCATTGTATTTCCCAGTTTATTACTTCGATAATCGTATAACTCCCTTGTTATTCGCTTTTTAGTGCCGGTAATTAGCCATCGCTTTTGCCGGCACCACGAGTAGCACAGTTCTTCCCTCATTTTCTTTCTCTCTTATTTGGAATATTAACTTACGAACGTGTTCCCATCGAACGTTACGATCTCTTCTATTTTTGTTGTCTTTTGTAATCTTTCTTTTTTTATTTTTCCTTTCCTCTACTAATTTTTGTATATCGTTCGTCACACCGTTTCTCGATACCCCGATATTCTCTCTTATCCAGTAGTTCGTAACAACATCTCCAGTCTATCTCACGAATTTAATTGCTACCAATCACGAACGATTAACTGCGAGAGCGTTAAAATATTTCTTTCTTTTTCTATCTATTTTTCTTTTTTTCTCTCTCTCTTTCTCTCTCTTCTTAACGTCTCTTTTATTCGCCAACTTTGCCGATTTTTATTGGAGAAACGAAGAGATGGGGAGGAGGAGGGGGGGGGCGGGGGACAGAATTCTTTCGATTGTAACCAAAAGAAAAATATTCGGTTGGTTAAATAAACTCGAGTAATTTTCTCTATTGGCAAATAAAATTCTAAAGTTTTTCGTTTGGATATCGAATATTGAACATTTTTTTTTTTTTTCTTTTTTCAGATAAAAAAGAAAAGATTGCAGCATTATTTATTTCGATTTTTTTTTTCTTTTACGATAAATATAATAAATTATTTTGTGTGTGATATTCGAAACAAATTATATTATTTTATTTTTATTCTCATTTATAGATATAATTAAATATAATATAAAATAACAATGAGAAAAAAAAGAAAAAAAATGGAAAGCGAAATCGGTATGAAAAATAGGTGCATATTGGGATCTCGATGACGACGTAATACGCAATCCTATATAATTAACATGGGCCTGCTGCTTTGGGGCAACCGCCATAACCCAGAAACGTATCTCGTTATGACCTAGATATGAGGCGATGCTTGAAATCATTCAGTGATTGTGCAATGCCGTTGG